GGCCCCCTCTCCGGGCCAACCAGTCCCCAGACTGTCCGAGCCCCTCAGCAGCCTCCCTGCCCTGGCCGAGTGGCACAATGGGGGCATTAGAAATAAGGTGGGTGGGCCGAGGGCTTGGAGGAGGAGAGGGGTGCCATGGGCGGAGGCCAGGCTGGGGACCGGCCCACGCCCTCTGCTGCCGGGACTCCCATCCCCTCATCGGCCAGTGGGAGCATCTCCCCACCACACATGCAGCATCACACGACTCCTGGGTCCAGCTCAGAGGGCAGGGAGTCTGCACCCCCAGGACAACCCTCAACTAAATGGGGTGGACGGAAGGATGAGGCCTGTTTCCACCATCCCTGGGGTTCCAGGAGGGGTCTTCAGGGAGCTGGAGCAAAAGCACCCATCCCCGGGCTCGTGGGTCTGAGGGACTGGGGCTCGGCCCACCGTGCCGCTGCAGGTTGGGGGTTTGTTCTGGGCCCGAGCAGCCGCTCAGACAGCTCGCTTCCAGGAGGGTCACAGGGAGGCCAGAGCGCACCTCACCCCCCGCTGCAAACCAGACCCTACAGCTCACAACCCACGAAACCACATGGCTAAGCCCAAGGTCAAGGGGAAGGGTGTGGGGCCACCACGAAGCGACGGCCCACGGAGGGGGTGGGTGTGATCCGTGGGACGTCCTGTGCAACACCCCCAGCCCCAACCCAGGTGCCCCAGGGAGGGTGCTCACAGATGGAGGGGCCTGGCCCCGGGCCCTGGACAGACTGTGGACCCTCCTCCCCTCTGCCCCTGAGTTTCTCGTCCAGTCCTGGCCACCGTGTCCTCAGCCCCCTCCCCACACCAGGGAGCCCAGTCCAGAGATGCCCGGTCCTTCCTGCAGCGCAGGGTCTCCTCTGCTTCCTTGGGGTCACCCCTCCCTGGGTGGGGATGCAGGTGCTTGCCTGGCCGTCGGGAAGGGCCGCCGTGGGGCTGATAAAGCAGGGCAAACAGCTATCACTGTAGCTTCAAAATGTCCTTCATCCCCGTCAGCAGGGCCCCCGGCCCCTGTCAGGGAGAGAACCCTTCTGGCTGACAGGGCAGCCGTCCGTCTGTCCACTTGGAGACAGAAGGAGCCCCCACATGGGCACAGGGCCAGGACTCTCCAGCACGGAGACCCCACTTCCCTGCCTGCAGGGGCTGCTGATTTCGTTGTTGCTGGGAACAATTCCCTTCCTCCTGACGTGCTGCTTCTGTGACCCTGGTTGTCCACCAGCTCCCAGGTGGGCATCCGCTGCCCCTCCCGGGGCCAGATTCTCTGACACATGGTGGTCAGGCCGCTGTGCCAAGCCCCATGAGAAGTGCCCAGCTCCATCCTGAGCAACTGGAGAAGCCACAGAGCTGCCGGTCCTGAAGGCCTGGCCCCGCCATGGCCCAGGCAGTGACGGGCAGGGCTCAGGGTCCAGGGGCGCTGCGGCTGGAGGCACCTGGTGTCTGGAGCCATGAGCCCCGGGAGAGCCCTGCAGGCTGGAGGGCCACGGGGGGCTGGGAGGCCGAAGGGGGTGGGGAGACAATGAAGGATGGTGCTGAGCTTGGGGAGGACAGGGCAAGGACTGACCACGGGGTGGGGAAGGCGGGGGCGGGGGCTCCGGGAGAGGAGACGCCCATGGGAGCCACCCTGGGGACGCAAGCCCACCCTGCAGCGGCATCACGAGGCTCTGAACTTGGGAGACCTAGCTGGATGACCCTTTCTTCGACCCTCCAAGGCCCGGAGCCAGGCTGGGGCAGACAAGGGGCCTTGGCACCACCCTGGGATGCCCCTATCAAGGTGGTGGGCTCAGTGAGAGGACAGTGGGCTTCTTGTCCAGCCCCCACAGAGGCCCCACATGGGGCGGATGTCTCCCTGTGCCCTGTGGCCGGGCGACCCCACAGGCAGGACAGGGTGGGGATGGCCAGTCTCAGAGGGGGTCCTGCTGCCCCTCAGCTGCGATGCACTCACAAGCCCCAGCGTCCCCTCTGAGGAGGGCCCTGGATGGGGGAGCACCACGTCACCCTCCACAGGCTGTCCGGGGAGGCCCAGAGGGCAGCGTGGATGTGGGCCCCCAGAGACGCCCCACTGCCTCCCTTCCCCGCTTTCCCACGCCTGTGGCCCAAAGTCATGATTCTGATGGCAGGTGGCAGACAATTCTCCACCTGGACACACCGTGCAGCCCCCACATCCTGCCCTCCGTGAAGTCACGGGGGGCCGCCCTGCTCCACCTTTAAGGGGGACACTGCTGTTCCACCCAGCTGCCCAAACCGAGAATGTCGTCAGCCAGGAGTCAGCCGGGAGTCACCTCTCCGATCCCCGCACTTACAGATGCTGGGGCCCGGGGATGTGGTACTGCAGTTGGGGTCCCTCCCCGTGGATCCAGGCAGGAAGAGTGGGCTGAGGCTCAGGGCCATCCGCTGCACGCCCCAGTTCGTACTGGGGCTGGGGAGCAGAACAGGACAAAGCAACGTGACGTGGAGCCTCAGCGGCCCAGCCCCAGGGACAGAGGGAAGGAACTATCGTGGCGCATGGGCCGTGGCCCGGAGCCCCCAGGAGAGCAGGGTCCACGGGGCTCTAGCTTACCCACAGCAAGAGGATTCCAGGGGATGCTGGGAGCAGGTGCAGAACCACACCCGGAGGGCCCAATGGTCACTTCCGTGCTGCCCAGCTACAGGGTCCCTGTCCACACTTTCCTGGCCTGCCTCACAGGAGGGGCCATCTAGCATGAGCAGGGTGCCTCCACCGCGTGGCCCGGCTTGGGCTCCCGCTCGCATGCTGGGTGTGCAGTCCGGTCCTGCAGGGGATGGACGGATGTGGAGGCACGCCCTTCTTGCTGGCCCAGGGCTCAGGAGAGGGAGTGCCAGGACCTCTGCCAGCCGGTGTCCACAGAGCAGACCCTCGGGGCCCTGGCTTTGAACCACATACGTGAACTTCTCCCTGGGGCCCGAGTTGGGAGCATGACCAGAGCCTGGGAAGAGGTACTCCCCCCCATTTCTCTGCTTCTGGGGACAAGGGCGAGCAAATATGCAAGCAGCCAGGTCAAACAGGTCCCAGCCCTCCTGCCTCTGCACCCTCTCAGACCCACCTGCCACCCACCTCCCTTGCTGTCCAAGGCCCACAGCCACAGCACCCAGAAGAAGCTCTGGGCCGTGCACACTCTGCCCAGAAATGAAGGGACATGATCTGACTGGGCTACCGTCCCATGGAGCACGTACTTTCATGCCCATGGGCCACAGCCAACAGGGACGGGAGCCAGGAGCCAGACCTACCCAGGAAGCTCCCTCCTCATACACCCCTGCACAGGAGCTAGTCTAGAAACTTCACAGTGACTCTGGTTGTCCCCACAGAGCAGGGGGCAGGATACGCCAATGCACACAGGAGGCTCGCCCAGGGGGGGTCCAGCCAGCACACTCCTCCTCACCACCCCAGGGAACAGGCCATGTCCCCACTGCCCACCTGGCCTTTGGGGCCTGAACCTTTGGCAGGACAAGACCCAGTGGCTCTCCCCAACTCCTGAGGTCCAAAGGGCCTCAAGCCTAAGATGGCTTGAGGTGGTATACCAAGGAGGAACAGGGTGGGAGAAGCCTGCTGAGTGTACCCCCAGTCCCCATGAGGGTCAGTCCTGGGACTATGTCCAGCATGAGCACGGTCACTGGTCAGTGGGCACAGTGTCCTACAGCCTGTCACCTCTTCCCCTCCACAGGGCAGCACCCTGATGGATGCCCTCAGGGGCCCTACGGGGCCACGGGACCCCCAAACTCTTCCTCCAAGCCCTCAGGGCCCAAAATCGTCAGAGAGCACAGCCCTGAGCTTATAGGAAGTCAGCTCCCCCAAGGACTCTGCTCCCTGCAGGCCTGAGGAGGGCTGCCCAGCCCCCAGCCACGTCCCTGGGGTTGAGGGGTGGGTAGCCTCCTGGGTCCCCAGTGTTCCCTGGGCTGAGACCGCCAGGCCCGCTCCCTCCCTCCCTCAACCAGCAGCTCAGGCCCCTGGCCGGGCCTTCTTCCTCGCTACGCCCTGGGCCCCTCCAACTGGGGGCCTGGCAGGCACCGGCCAGGAGCGGTGAGGGGCACTGGCCCCTCCATAGTACAACTTTTTCTTGTGTTGCAGCAGCTTAGAGGTGTAAGGTGAAAACCATAAGCTCTTCCTAATCCAGGTACAATAGCATCCCTCAGCAACTCCAGGCACGTTCGGGGATTATGCTCGGCAGAAGCCCCACCCGCTGCAGAGCTGGTCCCAGAGGGAGCCGGTTCGCGTCTGGAGGCAGGCTTTGCTTTGTCAACATTCCTGACAGTCCGGCTTCCTGCTCTTTTCACATAATGTCTGCTGTGGCCACGTGGCCGTGAGAGGCAGGATGGTATGGATTCACTGCACTCGGACAGACGCCCCACCGGGACTCACGGTAGCCCACGGCCGCTGGAGAGCCTGTTTGCCACACGCAGGAAGGCAGGCGGCCAGCACTCCGTGGGTCTGGGGCTCTGTCCTGACAGCACAGTGTATGCGTGTGTACCACACGCGTGTGCTGCATCGACGCACGACTGTATGTACTGCACGTGCACGTGTGTGTGCAGGTGGATTCTGCAGGGCGCGCCCGAGTGGGCCACTCCACATTTTGACATTTGGGGAACCAGCTCATCCTCCGGGGAAATGGAGGTTCCTCCTGCCTCCTTAAAGTGCCCCCTACTCTCGCAGAAGACACCTAAAATCTTCCGCCTTTTACGATGTCATGCATGTTCATTCTCCACAGTCCTCCGACTCGCTGACGGCCACCTTGCAGCCTCAACACCCCCAGTGCACACCACCACCACGAACCGCCTCCCACAGCTCCAGGAAACCCTCAGGAGGCCAAGCCCATGGGGTTTCAAGTCAGTCGGGGGCGGGGATGGGAGCAGAGGAAGGAGTGGGGCCAGGGGTCACTGTGTCGGCCCCAGTGTCCCTGTGCTCAGGGAACAGGCACCTGCAGGCACCTCACCACGGGCTTCACGAGACTTTTCTAGTAACAGAAGCAAGGAGAGCGTCATGATTAATTCCCATTTTACTGGAGGTTCATCACAGCCGAGAGAGAGCACGTGTCTGGACCTTCTCCACAGCCCCAGGAGCGGCCCAGGCCTGGGCAACAGCGGGGAGCGGGTCAGGGTGCACTGTGTGCCAAGCCGCCCCGTGGCACGCACCCGCTCGGGCACATCGGGGCTTCTCACCCTGGCCTCACGGATGTTGGATGCTGAAGCGGGAGTGCAGACACATCTCTGCAGACACATCACTGCAAACCAACAGGGTGAGCCCTTAATGACTAACTTTGACAACTGGCTTGCCAATGGATGGGCCCTCTAGAAAATGGGGGAACCATGCCTTACAGGGTGGACACCATCCCTGTCACTCTGGCCCAAAGCCGCCGGTGACCCAGGCCACCAGTGAGAGTTCTGGGACAGACCCCACACTCTCCCACGGAGCTCATCGCCTCTGCCAGGGACGCATACTGCGTGGGGGACCCAGTGACGGGACCACGCATGCCCCCTCCCACAGCTGCAGCCCACCACCGAGCGTAATGTGGCCTGGTCTCCCTGCCCACCTGGCCCCCCCAGGACGTCAGCAGGAGGCCCTCTCCCAGCGGGCAGAGGGGTGGACAGTGCCCACGCAGAGACTGAGAGAGCAGACCAGACAGCCCAACAGGATTGCCAGGGCAGCCAGGAAGAATCCCGCCCGGGGGCCGACTGGGCCCCTCCAACTGGTGGCTGGACCACCCCACCTGCTGCTGCCCTACGGCACAGAGACCCCCGAGCTCACCCCAACCCTGCAGGCCCACCGCGACAGGCAAAACCAGAGCCGGGCCAAGGCCCCTCCTGCGTCTCCTGCTGACCCCAAAGGCCCTGTCAGGCCTGGGCGGGCAGCGTCTTGTAGGGGTTCAGGATGCCCTGGGGGTCCAGGAGGGCCTTGAGCTGCTGCATGAGCCTCAGGGCCTCGGGCGGCTTGCTGTAGCTGAGGACGCCTCTCTTCCTGAAGCCCAGGCCGTGCTCGGCGCTGACGCTGCCCCGCTGCCTGGCCGTCCACTCGTACACGTAGGGTTCCAGGGCGTCTAGCAGCGACGGGCTGAAGGCCTCTGACGTCACATTGAGGTGCAGGTTACCGTCCCCTGCAGGGACAGGGATCCCTGGGTCAGGCAGGGCAGGCGGAGACCCCCGCCCTGACAGGCCCCAGTCCTGCCCTGCCCTCACACCTGGTTCCACGCCTCGTGCCACTGGTCACTGGCCTGCAGTGACTGAAGTGGCCTGTTGGTGACCACTCCAAGTCCTCCCCTCTACCTGCACGGCCCCTCTGAGGCTCCCAGCTCACAGTGACCGACCACCCGCCCGGCCAGTGAGCGTCCTGGGCCCAGACCACACCACCCATGGCTATCACCAGACCCACACCTCCCACCAGTGCCCACGGCAGCCTCTGCAGACAGCTCCATATGCCCGCCAATGCCCACTGCAAAGCCCTGGCCCCGTGCTCTCTGGCCTCGCTGAGATATCCAGACACGCCCTGGCTCTGGCTCTGTGGACGGCCTGGCTCACCGCCCACGTGCACCCCCCTCGGGGGCCCCAAAGCAATGACAAGACACAGGATGAAGCCAAGGCAAGGCGGGCAGGAGACCCAGGGCCGGGGCCGTGATAGCTGGCTGCTGTCTGGCCGGCAGAGGAGGGAGGCAGGACTCCGTGGGCCCCGGCAGACAGGCCTGTAGTGAGGCCCTCACCTGGGAGGCGAACATTCAGTGCAAGAGCAAGTGCAGATGCGGACAGGAGGCCCCCGCTCCCACACTCGGAGGTCAGGAAGGTGGGAAGGGACGAGCAGATGGGGGTCGGGCCCGGGGAGAGTTGCTGCCCACCGTGAGGGGCAGAGAGCCTCGTTAGCCAACAGGAGGGGCTCCTCGAGGCTGCAGCAAACAGAGCAAACCCCAGGGCAACACAGGGGGCAGGCCTGGGGCCTCTGACCCAGTGACCTAGAGCTTCTCATGTGCCACCTCCCTCCGGGCCTGTTAGATGTAGGGAACACAAGAGGGAGCCCCCTCCCACCAGAGCGTACCGCTGCCACCTGAGGGCAGAGGCTCCAAACCCCCCACGGAAGGGCCTGCACACCCATCAGCCAGCCTGCACAGGGTCCGGCTAGAATTCCCACTACCTCGGCGGTCCCACGGACCCTGAGCTGGAACATGAAGATGGGAGAGGTTCTAGCAGGTGGGACCCCGGTCCCCAGCCCCACTCGCACCCCCTGCACAAGCCTCAAGTAGTCCGACCCAGACCTCAAGTAGTCCCCACAGACAAAGCCCTGAGATATACGAGCCCACACCAAAAATTCCACGCACACAAGAAAAGCAGCCACTACGAGCAAGAGCCAGCAAACCTGACCCACAAAGGCTTCATATCCTGCAATTTCCAGAAAAAGAGCACAAATGCTTCATATGTTTACAGAAATAAGAGATAAAGAAGGTAAGACTGACCAAACATCTTAAACATCTCAACCAACTTCCCAGAAACGGAAAATACCAATCACTGAAAGGTCGAAGTCGACAAACAGGTTTCGATGGGTGTTACTCACGGCAGAGATAGCGACACAGTCGAAGTCGACAAACAGGTTTCGATGGGTGTTACTCATGGCAGAGATAAGTGACACGCAAGAGAAATTTGAACACAGGGTGCAGTCAGAGCTGGGCAGCAGGGAAAGCGGACGGGAGCCGCAGGGGTGGGGGGAGGGGGACAGGCGGAGCCATCGGCCACCGCCACCGCCCCACGGCGCCTGGGTGGACACGCAAGCGCTCACCCAGACAAACCAGTGACACGGAAGAGAAGAAAAACACGGCAAGTCAGCACCGCGGAGTGTTCGGGTCGAAGAAAGCCTGAGCAACAAAAGTAACACTGCCGGCAAATGAAACCCGTGGAGCTCTGTCACCTCCCGCCCTGCAGACGGGAAACGAGGCTGAGACTCGCAGAGGCCGTGGCACCAAAGAGGGACGCAGGCGTGGCTGAGCCTTGACCAACACAGCCGCCTAACACCAGCACCGCTACCCGGGGCGCAAAACAGAACCAAAATACGCCCCAAGAGGGGCACCCGGGTGGCTCAGCTGGGGAAGCGTCTGCCTTCCGCTCGGGTCATGGTCCCAGGGTCCTGGGATCGAGCCCCATGTCAGGCTCCCTGCTCCGCGGGGAGCCTGCTTCTCCCTCTGCTGCTCCCCCTGCTCATGCTCTGTCTCTCAAATAAATAAAATCTTTTAAAAAATAAATAAAAAATGAAGACAACAAACGACAAACTGCATGACAAAGAGACCATCCCCGTGTAGTCTACAAAAGACACGTCTAAGCTGTAGGACGGAAAACGGTGGAAAGTAATGGGAAGAAAAACAACATGTCAGAAAAAGACTAAATTCAAGGAGCCCGTGTGACCGGGTCCGAGGCCAGAGCGAATCCAGCAGTCAGACGAGTCTGTCGTGCTGAGAGCCCGTTTACCCCAGAATGAAATGACAGGTGCGACCTCCTGTCCTTGAGGCTGACGGAGCCACAGGAGAAGGACGCAGCCTGTCACATCGTGCGGACTGCTGACCGCCGCTCCGTGGCCGGCGCCCGCGGGATGCACAGCGCACAAACCTTCAGCCTTGAATCTTCACCGCAGCTCCCGCCAGATGGCCAAGGAGGCGGTAACGCCAACCAGTCAGACCCCTCGGGCCTGAGGGAGAGACCACGGTCACGCCGCTGTGGGGTGATGATGGCGTCCAGCATGGACACGGGGAAGGGACCTACAGGACGCTACAGCCCAGGACGAGGCCGGGGAAAACCCTGCACAGAACACAGGCACGCAGACCAAACAAGACGCAGAGGGCCGTGGCTGAGCCGGGCGACCCCCGGACCACAGCCCCACCTGCGCAAGGGGCCCGCCGGGAAACGGCCTCGCTGACCCCAGGGAAACCAGCCCAGTCGCCCCGCCAGACGCCGGAGAAGCTCCCGACTCGCACAGCACCCGCTCCTGATGTGCCCAGTGGGCGCCCGGGCGCCGCCGGCAGCAAAGGCTGTACTCTGCTCCACGAGGAGGGAGGCTGGCCCGCGGCCTCCCCTCCCCGCCCCCGGCCCTCAGAAGATGCCGGTCCTCCACCACCCTGCACCCCCTGCTTCTCCCTCTCCCTCTGCCTGCCGCTCCCCCTGTTCATGCTCTCTCTCTCTCTCTCTCGCAAATAAATAAAATCTTGAAATAAAAAAAATAAAATGCTTCCAGCTGGTGAGGGCGAGGGGGAGGGAGCTCGTCAGCAATACCGCAGGCCAAGCCGAGGGAAGGGCACTGCGGCGGCCAGTCAGAGGTCCCTTCCAAAATACCCAAAGAACCATGAAGACGATTAGGGTTCTCCCAACAACCAGGATCCCCCATCACCGCCCGACCCCAGAACGGCTCACCCAAGTGGCCATAGCCCACCACGTGCTTGGCCTGCGAGCCAAGGCGGGCGCGCAGGTCGGGCACGAGGTCGTAGAGCCTCTCGGTGGGCAGGGAGAGGTCGTATTTGTACACGTAGCCGTCCTGGCTCAGCGCCTCCGAGATCCTCTCCCTCAGGGCCCACAGCGCCTAGGACGGACAGAAAGCAGACAAAGTCAAAGGGAGCACCGTGAGGGTGTCTGTGCTCACAGCAGTTAGAACGCTGGCGGCCTGGGGTGACCGGGAAGGTCACGACGGAACTTTCCAGGCGACTGAAATGTTGTGTGTGACAAGCATGGGGCTCTGATCCAAGAGTCCGTACTGGACGAGGCCCCAGAAAGCGGCCACGGCTCACCCCAGGACACACCGACGGCCCCTCTCCAGGAGGACGGAGGATACTCTGAGTGATGGTCGGGGCCGCCGGTCGGTGAGGGAACCTGAGTGACGGCACAGTCGGGCAGGGAAGACACTGCAGAGGGACGGGGCCGTGGGGCCCTGGGCTGCCCAAGACACACACAGGCTGCGGGCGGGCAGGGGTTCTGGCAGCTGGAGCAGGAACGTGAGAGTGGCGCGGGGACGCTGAGGGGGTCTGGGGAGCGGGGGGCTCATCACATCACTGCCCTTCCAGACAAAGCCGCCCGTGGTTTACTGGCTCGGCTGGCTGACCGGTCATGGTGGACACTTGAAGTCCTGGTCACGGAGCGGAGGAAAGAGAGCCGCATGCGCCATCGCTCCGCTGTGGGGCTGGCCCCTGTCCTGCCCTCCACATGTCCCCCGAGTCAGCAACTGTCACGGCAAAGTTCCAGCGCGGGAAGCACTGGTTCCTCCTGCTTTTCCACACGAGCACAGAGCCAGGACCGCCCCCAGAAGGGCAGCAAGAACCCCTTACTGCCACGGACACCGCCAGTGTCTGGTTTCCCCGATTCTCTCATCGGCTTTCGGGGTCACTGCGAGGTCCCTCTGTGCCCTCTCCCCGACTCTCTGCGCCCAACCTTCAGCGGCTCCCGCCCTCCACCTTCCTCACACAGCCAGACCAGCGACGACCCCGCACAGCTCGCCGCGCCGCTGGACCCAAGCTGGAGCGCTGCAGGGCCGTCCTGCCGCCCACAGGCTCCTCCCCGTCCATTCACATCCGCCACATGCTACCGCGGCGGCCACAGACCTGCTCGCCCCTCGCCTGCCACCCACCCTCTCTGCTCATCCCACCATCTCCGGACGCTCTGGAACCGGGCAGGCACAAGCCCCTCGGGGCCCCAGTGCTCCTGCAAAGGTATCCTTGAGGCCTGTTCCTGCTTCCCTCCTATCTTTGCTCAAAGGCCCCTTCGGGAATGTCCCCCGGCCACCACCATGCCACGTCCCGCCTGCCAGGGCAACGCCATCTGCGAGGGGGGCCGGCCCAGCTCCTCCGGTGTGCCGGGGCCGCTGGAGAGCGCCGCTGTGGAGTCGGCAGTCTAGACCGAGCAGGGACCAGCGTGGGTGCCCGCGCAGCCGGCTCTCGGGACTCGCTGTGGCCAGCGAGCCTTGAGCAGCACTGCCTGCCAGCCCCCAGCACAAGCCTGGAGCACCAGCCTTCCTTCTGGTGGAGACGGGACCGGGCATGGGCCAGCGCGCAGCGGGGGCCTCTGTCCTTACTGCCCCCAAGGCCCGGGGCTGCTCCTCACTCCCATTGCGACACGCAGCACATTTAGGAAGAAACAGAGGCAAATGTGGAGACGCAGTTACGCGCCTTTGGCAGCAGAGAATAGCACCGAGCCCGTCCTGGGAGTGAAGGACTTGCCCACGTCCCTCCGGCTGGTGTAGCCTGCACGACACCGCGGGAGACTCACAGGACACCCGGAGGACACAGCCAGACGCCCTGCCCGGTCCTCCCTCCAGTGGGGAGGTCACCCAGTGGGGACAACAGAGCGGTGGGGGCGGGGCGGGGAGACAGGTCCTCACTCCCCACAGGACGAGGCCGCGGCGTGAGGCCCTTCGTCTGCAGGTGGGGTTGGACGCGCCCAACAGCGCTACAACTCCTGACTTAGTATTTACTAAACTCACAAAACAACCGTGAAGAAGAAGGTTTAATAACAAGGTACACCAGGAAACCCAACAGGTCCACCGTAAGAACTAGCCTGAGACCCGGTTCCCCACTCACGCCCGGGGGCGCCCAGATTCACATACAGCCTGGCCCAGACGCACGTCCTCCCTCAACCCTGCCCCAGCTGGCCACTCTCACACCACAGCCCCAGGGACCACGGTGCACAAATATGGGACAGTGCCTCCCAGCGCCCCAGGTCCCCCAGGATGGTGACGGGGGCTCCCGGCGCCCCGGACCCCCCAGGATGGTGACGGGGGCTCCCGGCGCCCCGGACTCCCCAGGATGGTGACGGGG